AAAAAAAAAAAACTCATACTACATCTCACTAGTTACCTTGAGTTTTTCCACCCATTGATAGTCGGTGGAGTCCACAGGCAGGAAGAGGGGCTGTGTGCTGGGGCTCTGACGGCGGCACAGGAACAGCACGGAGCCATAGAACGATTTCTTCATGGCGGCCACGTGGAGGGAGGCCTTGCTGAATACCTTCTCCCACTCAGCCTGGTTAGCATGGAGCATGAGCGTTAGCACCTTACCACGAGGCACTGGGAGGGGCCAAAGGGAGAGAGGAGAGGCCTACCTGGGACAGCAGGGCCTGCTGGCGGCCCAAGAGGTAGGCCACCGTCTCCCCCAGCGTGTCCCCCTTAAGCATGGTGTGCAGCAGCAGGAAGCCGCCCTCCTTGGTGGCCGACGCCAGGTTGCCCAGCACCTCCTCTGGGCTGGACAGGGGGCTCGTCACACAGTTACACACCACCAGGTCGGCGCCACCAAGGCCGCCGGGGGCGGGGGCTGCGTGGGGGTCCCACTGGCCGGTGGCGACACCCAGGTCCTCCAAGGACGACTGGTGGGGGGTCAGCAGGTCTTGGGTGACGTCGGTGGCCGTGTACTCCACCCGCAGCATGGGCTGAATGTTCAGGAGGCTGACGGCGCGGGAGAAAACGTGACCGTCTGCAGCGAGAGCCTGGGGGCGGAAGCGTGGAAACGGCACATTACATGCAAGGCACTGTCACACATCCCCATAAAGTCACCCCCCCAGAGAGCACACACTGCATCAGTACACAAACACATCAGGTTACATGCCCCATCCTAAATGGCACCACAACTGTTTGAATTAAACTGCAGCATTATGGTCCACAAGGGTAGCAGTGAGCACCGCTCCTACACAGGAGACCCAAAGCTGCCGGTTTTCCCTTTAATTGCCCTTAATTACTTATTTGAGTAGGAGCGATTAATGCCCAATAATGACATTACTGGGTTCCTGTGAACCAAAGTGACCAATTTTCACTCTCTGCCAAGAGTCTGAGAAGCTTCACAGTGGCAAAGTCAACAGTTTCTTATGCACAAATTAGGTTATTGCTGCTTCCAGCAGAGTGGAAACTCCTCTTTGACTCAGTGTTTGTGTTTATGAAGTTCTTATTTTGTTAATAAGAACTTAACAGTAATTGTGTAGCTGTTGGGAGGAACCCGCTCCAATACAGCTCACACTTGTACCTGATCATTCATTGGACTCTCTGCCTACCTGCACTCATGCTTAGTTGAATCCTTGATCGCACATATTTGTAATGCACTATATGCCTCACTTGGACTAAAGCATCTGCTAAAAATGTAAATGTAAAATGCTCTCAGGTACAGCTGGCTGAACACATAGTAGCCCAGCAGGAGCTCAGTTCTCCAGCGTGAGTTAACCCAAAGCCCAGCCTGGTGGCCATGCAGATCCTCCCTACCTCCAGCACCCGTATCTTGCCGGGCGTGGCGTTCTCCAGCACCGTGTCCAGGCAGTGCCGCAGGGCCACAGAGTCCAGCAGGCCGCCCAGCAGCGGGTCTTGCAGCAGGCAGTCCTTCTCCGCCCGCACCGTCTGCTCCAGCTCTGACTGCAGGTTCCCATTGAGCTCCAGAGCACACAGGGCTGACAGCAAGCGCGGGAGCCCCGGCTCGGCCTCGGCCCCGGTCAGCTGGGCCTCCATCGCCTCCTCCAGGCCGGGTATGGACAGCTTGGCCCCCTGCTGTGCGAGCTTGTGCTGCAGCCGGTGGATGAGACCTGTATACCAAGGGCCACAGGAAGTGTCATATATATATATATATATATATGTTAAAGTATTCATAGAACATTCATAATGCAATCATAGAACATTCATAAGCAGCATGTAAGTATACCTTAATGTCCTAACATGCCTGCACTGCTTTAAAATACATGAATAACAAACACAATAAGTTATCTTCGTTTGTTAAGGATGTTAAGGTATACCTACATGCTGCTTATGATTGTTCTATGAATGCATTATAAAGGCATTATGAAGGCGCATTAATGTAAAGTTTTCAGAATAATTATCTAAGGACTAAAGAGCAGGCAGCCGGCTTTGCAGTCTTTCTACATGACAATCCCAGAAGAGCTTCTGGCAGACATGTGACCTTCAGGTCCACCAAGGTCACCCCCGAGTCGTTATCATATACCACCTCTCCGCTTTCCAAGGCTGACGCATCGCTCAGCAGCGGAACTAGCAATTGGGTTTCTCGTGGAGAACCTGCGAGAGGATCACGTGCCTTTGCAGTGCCTCAGCTGCTCGCCGAGCTTCTCGCTGGTCCTCAGGCACTGCGTGTCCATGTATGGCACGAAGACAAACTCCTCCAGGGTGGGGGGGCTCTGCTGCTGCTGCCGTCGCGGCGCCACAGTGGCATGCAGGCCGGAGATCTGCACTCCGCCCGCGATAATGCTGTCCAGGTAGCGGTCCACCTGCACATCAATGGCTGCGAGAGGAGATATGAGAGAGAGATTGAAGGCTTGTCATTTGGCAGTAAGTGCAGCGTCAAAGAACACGTAAATGTTCTTACAGATTTAGTTAACAGAAATAAAATACGAAACTGCAACTAAAATTATAATTGTCGCTTCTCTAACTGAAAATAAAAACATCAGAACATATAGTTAAAATACTACTACTAGTTTTAAAATACTATTTAGCTAAAATATTGATTTGTACCCCCCAATGCCAGTTATTTTGAGGACATTAGTTACACTGTGTATTCATGTGGGAGTCTCTAAAATGAGAACTAAAAACAACTCCACAACTTAAAGTTATTAGAAATATATATTTAAAATTAAAACTAATACATCAAACACTGAAAACGAAAATAAACATAATATATAAAAATGTAATATAGAAACACTAAATTACAAATAAAATTGAAACACTGCTGCAGATATGTTGTGAGGCAATACTGCCGGGGGACGGGGGTGGGGGCGGGCGTACCCTTCTCGTTCTCCCCATACTCTCGGAACTTCTCCTCGTGTAGACGGGGATCGACGCAAACGGACCGGACCCGAGTGGGCAGCCGCAGGCTCCGGCCCGAGAGGCCCAACACCAGCATCTGCAGCATGGTGTCCAGGAAGGTCACCCAGTTACCCGTCCATCTCAGCTTGCCGCGGTCTCCTGCAGGACAGAGAGGAGGGACTCGCTCGGTTGCCGGTCAGGCAGCGAAGGGCTGCAATGGTGGGTGGTCTTAAACGATCCCCGGGGGTCCCTCACCGGGGCCGCTGGCCTCCAGGATGCCCTGGAATGTCTTGGCATAGTCATAACCCCGCAGGCGCAGCTCTTTGTAGACGTCTCCAGCCGTCAGTCCCAGTCTGGGGTCGTCCTCTGAGGTCGCTTCGGGAGTCTGGGCCACCTGAGATTGGAACGCTTCCAAAGCCTTATCCTCAAGGATGCTCACTTTGCCTGCAGACAACGGTGCCAGTGTTACCAGCAGGGGGCGCTGGTGCAGACAGTCCACGAAGAGCTGTGGTTATGGTCACTCAAGGTAGAAATAGCACGGCTTACCACTGACTGTCAGATTGCCATTCTCAGAGACCTCGAACCTGCTGGTGGCAGGCATGAGTCGGACCTCCAGCTGGACGGTGCCTGGGAGGGGTTCTGGAGTTAGATTCTGATGGGACAGTAACAGGACCCGACTCGAAGCTGGTAAGTAGTCGTGTTGCACCCTCACCGGTCTTTGGCAGGATGGTGGCCCGGTGGATGGTGATGTCCTCGAAAGTGACAGGAGTGTGCTCCATCACCGCCCCCAGGCTCCTCAGCAACGTCCTCCAGGCCAGCACCAGGTAGCCCGTGGCCGGATACAGGACGCGCCCGTCGATGCAGTGGCCCGTCAGGTAGTAGTCAGGGGACTCTGGGTTCATGTCTGCAGGAGATCATGATACATGTCATGCAAGAGACCACACACTGGACAGCAAGCCGCTCAAGAAGTTCTGAAGCCATGAAGACAATCAGGCCCCGGCAGAGATTTAGGACTCTGGATCCATGACATGGTCCCTCAGAGTGCTGCTGTCGCTCACCGATGTTGTAGACTGTGGCTGAACTGGAGCCGCCAGACCCAGAGGGGAAGTTATCAGCGACCGGGACGTCCCAAGTCTGTGAATGGTCCCAGAGGATGTGGGGAGAGATGAAGGGGGTCCCGACCTGAACGGGGTACTCTACGGCCGGGTATAGCTTGTTGCTGTCCAGGTTGATTCTACCGGAGAGATGAGAAAACCAATCAGCATCCAGTGTCCAGCAGAGCGGCCAATGACGAGCAGCCGGAAGAGACAGGCGGGGAGGTCAGCGAGGAAGGCGGACCCGTTCATGTAGATCTTTCCGACGTGCGAGAGGAAGAACTCCAGGTTATTGGGGTGGCCCCTCTTCATCAGGGGCAGGATAGAGCAGGTGGATTTGAGGCTGCGTTTCAGGACAGCCTGCAGCAGGGTGGGGGGAGGGTGGACACAGAAGGTCAATGAGGTGGAGAAGGCAGCAGTAGTGGATCCCAGGAGGAGTGATGAGCGTCGTTACCTGCAGTAGGGCATGGGGTGCGATCTCCACCACCACAGCGTTGTCGGGCACCACGTTCAGGCCCTCCTGGAAGAGCACGGCGCTCACCAGGTTGTTAACGTGGTACTCTGCTGAGGAATAGTGTGCCAGGGGGCTGTCCCAGTCTGCCTGCGGGATGGAGGTGCTGATCCAGCGAGCCGACCTTGGCTTCGGATTCTTAATTACCTGGGGAGATGGAGACTTTGGTTAGCCTACAGATAGTAATGGTCCAGGTGCACTTTTCTCTCAAGCAGTTCACACCTCAATAACAAGTTTTCTCTGAAGGGAAGCCCACAATGCACCAGTCCTGACTGTGCTGAGCAAGAGGATGCATGACCTTGCGGCATCCGGCCAGCAGGTGTCACTGTTGTAAAATCCAGTGTTGTATGAGGGCCGGAGAAGCTCTTACCTTTTTGAGTGCGGACAGCAGGGCAGGAGCGATGGAGGCCATGTAGTAGGAGTGGAAGGCCACACCGGCACTGCGCACTTCCTTGGCAAACACCCCACTTTGCTTTAGCTGAGCCACAAACTGGCTGACTGCTTCCTGCATACGCCGACACACGCACACAATTAATTGCCTGAGTTCGCAGACTATTTAAAAATAACAGTGAAAATGAACTGTTCTCTAGAGACAAGTGATCACATTTATGACCTCTTTTCAAACTCCATTAACAAAAGGCAGAGAGCAGGTCGGCCCAAAACGGCACAGCGCCGGTTACCTGAGGACCCGAGATCGTGACAGTGTCTTCGGCGTTGTGGCAGGCGGGCACCACCCCCTGTGGGCACTGGGCCTTACACTCCTCCCACGTCAGGCCTGTGGGGGGGGTCCATTACAGTCATGAGCTGATATTCCCATACCCTGCGATTCCTCGAGTTGTGGTAAGAAAGCGAAGGAGATACTAGAAGGTGACAGGCAGATACTGCCGATGCCCAAGTACTAATATAATTTTTGGGGAATTAGGGACACGAGGCCCTTTGGCTGTTGGTTAACAGTCCAGGTAAAACTAATAGGCTGTTGCTGCCAGCTGAACACAAACAAAACCGATCTAACAATCCAGCAGAGCGCGAGAGGGTGGGCGTCGAGGCTGGGACCCCCTACCTACGGCAGCCATTCCCCCTGCTGGCAGGTTGGCTTCCTTGATGCACCGTCCTCTCCAGTAGGCTGCCAGGATGGCCTCCTTGTGGCAGAGGGAGCCGTCGGCATAGCCGCAGGCCAGCTCGCCTACAGAGTGTCCAACAATGCCGTCCGGCACCAGGCCCATCTTCTGGAGCAGGTCGATTTGGCCGATCTGTGAAATGCAGGAGGCACGTGAGGAAGAGTCCACAAGACATTAGAGCCCAGAGACACCAGGTGAAGGGCACCGAATTCATCCATCCAGTCATCTATTTGTCTGAAATGAAGGCATTTGAACCTTTTGGCTAAAAGTTAAGTGTGCAGAACTGTGCCAAGTGTACATTAACTTAAAAAGCCATACTAGGCAGATGTAACATGATTAAACCAATTTTTCTTTGGCAGGCCACCTGATTACACAGTAAATCCTTCTGATAAAGACACTAAATAAGTGTGACTGTATAAGACAGCGGGACAGAGTTTAAATCTGGACTATTCTGGCAGCGGTCAGCAATAAAGTACATTAAAAATTAACGACGGCTGATTAAAACCCCCCTCCTCGCTGAGAATGAGCAGCGAAGGCCTGGGCAGGTCCATCAGGCCGTCTCACCTGTATGGCGGCGAGCCCCACGAACGCGTGCACCGTGTCCTCGAAGGTGCTCTCATCAGCCTCCATCAGCAGGCGTGAGACGCAGAGCCCCGTGTCCCGCAGCGCCTCGTCTGAGCGCAGGACGGACTCGCGGAATTCGGCCAGCTGCATGAGGCTGCGGCCCATCCCTGCCCACTGTGTGCCCATCCCTGCGGACACCAGGAGGTTTCAGGGGCCCGTCCCACTCCGCACACACCCAACACTGACACTCCTTCGCTTAACTTGCAACACAGGGCGTAAGGGTGGAGCACTTTACTCTTTATGGTACATTTTTACTTGACTAATTTTTTCCAGCCAAACTGGGTCAACTGAGGTGAAGCAGAAGGTGCTTAAGGGTATAACAGCAGCGCCCCTCCTCGGAGTGCTCTCCTACACCACCAGCTGCCCCAGTGTCATCATGGGAAATGCAGGATCAAGTCTGGCAGTCCTCACCTGAGCAGATGTACCAGAGAGGTCTGGATGCGGCCTGAGCTTGCTGCACCTCCATGGCATCCGCCTCGCTACCAATCAGGGCATAGCCCCTGTAGGGCATGCTGGCGGTGGGCACGGTAGAGATGTCGTTGAGGATGCTTAGAAAGCCGGCATTGCTGGCGTTGTCCCGGGCCTTCCGGACGAGCTCGTTGACGGCCTCTTCTGTGCGGCCGCACACCTGCAGGAGCCGGGGAACCGCGAGCGGGGGCTTTGTGTCTTGAGGCGCGGCCACGGGGCCCGCCGGACGCAGGATCAAATGGACGTTCGAACCTCCGAAGCCAAAGGAATTGATGCCTACGATGCCACCCTTGACGGGCAAAGGTTCGGTGACGACTCGCACCCTGCCGTCCAGCAGTGCCGGGATATCGGGGTTGGGCTCCTTGAAATGAATGTTGGGAGCCCACATGCCGTGCTCCAGGGACAGGACCACCTAAACAGCAAAGAACCCCCACCCATCCATTAGTGAAGCAGAAAGACCACCGACCTGCTTACAGCGAGCAAAGCGTCCAGCTTGTTACCTTGGCGAGAGCGGCCAGGCCAGACGCCGGCTCGGGGTGGCCCATGTTGGACTTGGTGGAGCCAATTAGCAGAGGCTCTCGCTCGGATTGACAGAAGACGCTGACAATGCCATTAACTTCTTGTGGGTCCCCAACCTGAAGGGAAATCCACAGGTTAACTTCTCATGGGACATTCACTTCTACGCGGTAACTACTGAAGTTAACAGGTGATGCTTCTGCCCGTACACGTCACGATCTGAGAACAGGGGTATCCAGCATTCCTGGAGTGACTGGACTTAAGGGCCTTGCTCAGGACAATGGTGATACAAGTGTTCTGTGGGGCACAAGATCTGAACCCACAACCTGTTGGACATGAGCATAAATTCCTAACCTAACAAGCTGCAGAGGGTGAAGATTGTATTGGAGATCAGCTGTAGGGGACCATGGAGTTGGGTCTACGGAGTCGGTGCAGCGCTAGGCTCACCTTGGTGCCCGTGCCATGGGCCTCGACGTACTCCACTTGCTCTGGGGAGATGTTGGCCTCCAGGTAGAGGGAGCGTACCAGGCGCTGTTGCATGTCGCCCGAAGGGAAGGTAACGCCTGAAGAGGATGGACACAGTGAAGCAGATTTCCTCCCATGGTTCAAAAATATGGTTGGGTGAAATGGTGACCCTAAACTCTCCATGTGACTGTGTGCTCTGCAAAGTACTGCTGTCCCATCTAGGTCACCCCATCCTTCCCAAGACAGGCTCCAACATTATCATGAATGGATACTGGATAAGCAGTTATGGTAGATGGATTGATGGATAGATGTATGGATGGACGGATGAGTGGAAGCTGGATTAGACTACTTATATCTCTTAAAAAAAAAAATAGATGACTTCTAGTGGTCTAAACTACAAGAATAGCCTTCTAGCCTACTGCCATTTTATTGGTTAAAAAACATTTTAACCAGTAGCCATCTTAGGACACTTAAGGTCATTTTAAGGACCCTTAATTAATGAGAAAATTAGAAACTTTGACATCTAGCCATCACTCAACAGCGGTAATTTAACAAGACGACAGCCATAAAAGGTGTGATAAGCTATCGACGCGAGCAGATTGTCTATCTGCACACAGCATGTGCTTTAATTTTGACATCACGTGATTAACATATACAAGCAGCCAGAATGAACACGCAGGAGCACGTGCACATATCTGGTATACTTCAAACCATGACGCACAAGATATCACATTAGCACAAAAGGTGGAGGGGGGAGAGAGACAGGACTGCATGCAGACATCAGAGGTAATGCGAGCTGCCGGTGTCCTGGGACAAAGGCCACTGCATTCCGGACAGACGCATGATCTATGGTTGGATTTGTTTATAAACACGGCCTGCGGTGGCATCCGTGTCAAGAGTGACTGGGGAAAAGTTCTCTGTCTGTAGGAGGAATGGTCATACATTTGGGGCATCAAACATCTGCTTTAAGGAGGTTTCAGCCACATGCACGTTGGCTCAAGTTTGCGCTGAGGCTCCCAGTCACTGATTACCTTGTTCTTTGTAACCATCTGTGTTGTTACCCGCGTTGATGATTGTGGCGTAAATCCTCTTTGCCATGGACCTTCTGGTCAGCAACACGGCCACAGCAGCCTCGGACCGGCAGTATCCGTCACCTGAGAATAATCGCAAGGCATCATGCTTGAGGTGCTGTGCAATTTCAGTTGATTTTCCAAGTCAATATCGCTGCCCCTCCTCCACCCCACATCCCAGAGCGACTCAACCCACTACCTGAGGAGTCAAAAGACTTGCAGCTGCCCCCAGGACTCAGCATCCCCAATTTCATAAACTGCACGGAGGTGTTTGGTTTGAGCAGCAGATTGACCCCACCCACTAGGGCGGAGTCACAGTGTCCGTGGCGAATGGCGTGGAAGGCGTTCTCCATGGCGAGCAAGCTTGAGGAACATGCCGTGTCAATGGCGGTGCTGGGACCTGCAGAACGAGCAGAGTGAAGACATACTTTGGACCGTTGACCAACAACCTCTTAGCCTCAGAGGTGAAAGTCTGTTGGTAACTTTCCAACAAGCTTAGCAAACCCTAAACACGCTCTTGGGAGGTGATTCACGTTTATTTCCCAATACAGCAGCAATACAGTAAGTTGTATACCCCTGAGGCTTTCAACAATTTGCCCCCTGCTTACCGTTAAAGTCAAAGAAGTAGGAGAGGCGGTTGGCAAACATAGCCCGCTGACAACCAGTCATGCTGTAGCCCAGGAGCTCCTCTGGATCCCGGCTGAAAGCTTCCCCAGCTTCTGAGCCACTGACGCCGATGTATACTCCTGTCTTGGACCCACGGAGGGCTACTGGATTTATGCCTGCGGACAATGAATTATGGGGGGGGGGGGGGGGGGGGGTGATTCTTTTGAATCTAGTTTGCAAATGATACCTAACCATTATGTTCAAACAGGCAAGGAACCATCCTAGCAGCTACAGATGTTCGATCTTGTGCAATTCACCCCAAGACCACTGAGACAGGACAGGCAACTGGTGCTTCAAGCCCTGGTGAGCTTCAGAGGAAGCCATCCAATACCTCTACTGTTCAGTATGCCAGAAGCACTCACCTCCATCTACAATGGCTTCATACGAGATCTCTAGCAAGAGTCTGAGCTGGGGGTCCATTGTGTGAGCTTGCTTTGGATGCACGCCGAAAAATGAGGCGTCGAATTTACTGATATCCTTCAGTTTTCCGTTTCTCCTGGGCAGGCCGTACAAACCTACAGGAGGCAGGAAGAACGTTACAGCCCAGCTAAGGAGCTTCATTCAGAGGTCCCTTGGCTTTTCGGGGCATCTAGGGACACAGAATATGCAGATCATCTTTCCTTTTAGGGTTTGTCTCAGAGGAGCAGAATGGATCCCTTCAATAAAGGGAAGTGAAAAGCGAACAAAGTGAAGCTCTATTCAGAGAGGAAACTACTGCCAACACTAAGGGCAGAGTAGGGGAGGGGGAAAGGAAGGAATAAAAACCCATAACAATATCCCCTACCACTGAAACGCTTCCAAACACATTTAAAATGATTTTGCACAAAGAATGACAGACGGTAATGTTATACACATGGACAGAGTACTAACTAAAGAGGAAGATATCAAGCATAACAACCAGCTCCGAGCTTCACCTGGCTTCCACCTCCTGTCGTCCTCTGTCACCATGTCCACCCCATTGAAGAGGTTCTCCCAAAACTCCTGCAGGTTGTCAGACTCGGGGAGTCTGCCCGAAATGCCAGCGATTACAATTTCCTCCATGGCGTCGAGTTCCCTGTAGGCGACAGGAGAGGGGAGTCACAGCGGTTCACCGGAGGACGAAGCAGTGTGAGAAATGCCCTCTGCGCGTGAGCCGATAGAGAACGCGCTCATGTCAAGCCAGGGAGGAGGGAAATAAATGAGTAGCTGAAATAAAAAGCGTCCCCTTTCTCCGGGAGATCAGACTGTGGGTCTGTAGTAGCTGTTCAAGCAGCCAGTGGAAGTGGCATGGGAGTCTCGCTGACCTTTGTTCCCCTCTCAGCGCTGAACAATGTGTGCTGCGGCTCGCCAGAGAGCCTCAGCTGACAAAGGGGGCACAGAAATGGCATTCCCTCTCTCACGGGGATAGAGGACATTGCCACACAGCGTCCAGCCCCCTTCGCCCTTGTTATCCGGCCACCCAGACAAAGATAGAGCCACTGGGACTTCCAAGTGTAGAATCACGACTCGTCGTACAGGTAAATATGGAGATGCAAATGGCAGAAGATTAAAAACTGACTGTTGGGCTATTTCCCCTTAAAACGCCGAGATGCCATACAAAACGGGTGACTATCATTGTGCATATCTAATGCGGGACAGCATTTGACACTAATTGGCCAATCATCCAAATCAACGCTGTTAGTTAAGAAAAAAATCGAGAACAAGTATTTTAGCATTCATTTGGAGAAAAGGCAGGACACACACACACAGCACATCTTGGATTACTTCATAACCCAGTTTAATGCAACCCTACATATTGCCACAGAAGATTACGACTCCTTATTGATCCAGTTTTGACATGCAGCTTTTACATGGGCCACAGTTCACATGGCCCAGCTACAGACTGACCCACAGGGTAATTCGCTTAACCAAACTCTAACCAGTAAAATCTATTTTCCATATGTACTATTCACACCCACATGAGACCCACATGTGAAATACCAGCCATGTGGTCAATAGGACTAAATAAGGTAATGAAATTGTAAATCAGTATTCGTACAGTACTGGGTGCCGGTAAAGGATTCCCATTGTGGATGAGTCACCCTTCCTTGTCTTGTCTTTGGTTGGCTCCAGAGAACAGCAGGGAAGCGGAGGAGGTCCAAACAGGTACACACAGGCATGAGGCCACACATTCCAGATACCCAGCGGGGACAGCGGCTGAGTTGAGTTGCCAGCGTGTGATCACATGGCAATTACGCACGATGCACGTCTTCAGCATGCATTCAGCAAACAAGTTTAACTGGCCTTCCTGTGATGCATTTTAATGGTGAAAAAATGTACTGTGCACTCATACAGACAGTAAAAATCTGATGGATAAATGCCCCCAATTTCTAACAAAGCACAATGCAGAGGGAGCAATGACCCAGCATCCCAATTATGCAGTATGACAGTGTTTCACTTGAGTGTTAATTATTAATCAAATACGTCTATAGTGTGTCCAAACAATAGGGAACATTTGTCATAACCAGACATGTAAAAAGATGGCGGCAAGTCACAAAAAGTAGCCATTTAAACAATCCAGGTTTATTCAGGTTCAAGGCCAGTCTGGCATCATATCGTTAAAATCTGTAACAGGTGTAGCAAATTAAAATGAACACAAGGGAAATTAAATTAATTTAATAAAACTAAAAGGTCTTAATATTAAAAGTTTGATAAACTGCTCATTTTTAAAAGATGTTAAACATTAAGGGCATAAAACAAAAAAAAATGTGAAGGGACTTTTTAAGAATGTAACATCTTGAGAATTTTGTGCCATTGAGGGTCATTGTAATTCCCGTCTGCGATGCAGAATTCAGCACTTTAACACAAAGTTGTCCCCCCTCCATGAATTCTATCTGACATACTCAAGGTGAACAACTCTGCTCATCTGTGTGTACAAATTTACTAGTCATATTTTATATCAGGTGAGTAGTAACAAGCTCACTGACATGTTCATAGGTCACAGGATCACCACATGGGCGAATTTTAACGGAAACTTTGGCAGATACAATACATCTGCAGATTTGGCACATGAATGGATTTCAGGGTGCAGCATGCAGTCAGTGTGGGCAGGGCTGGTTCTAGCTATAGGCAGAATGGGTAGCTGCCTTAGGCCCGCAATTTACCAGCATTGCAGCGGAAGTGAAATGATCAATTATCTTTACAGGGGGGCCTCCCAACTAAAGCTTTGCCTTGAGCCCCTGAAAAGGTAGATCCAGCCCTGAGCATGGGCCGTATCTCGAAAGGTTGAGGCTTACTGCTACTCCTTGTGGGTAGCAATCTTCACCAGTCAGTAGAGATGCATGTGTTACATTACCAGCTGTGTAGTAAGCAATTCCAGTATATATATATGGAATGGATGAAATGTGTATGAGGAAAATTTTCGGAACAGACACCATTAAGCAGAAACTAAGGTACCAATAATTGCAATTCCATAAAATTTAAGAAGGCTCGACTATTAAATGCGCCCTCACGTTAAAGTAGATTCAGTCGGCACATTGATGACAGACGGCGCGAGAAATTCCGCACGCAACTTTTAAAATGGCCCATGAACAACAGCTCTGCAGAAATGGCTCGGATAGGCACAGACAGCACATGCCATATGCAATCATAAAACACTATATTAAAACTGCGCAGGCGTTGGTTTAAAAAATAAAATAAAAGAAACATAGGACACCTTGCATGAACTTTGCTATGCTGACGACCCTCTGGTTCGGTTTACTTTTACCGCCACTCCAGGTGGCGTAAAAAGCATCTGGAATACGTCACTTCAAGTGTTACAAATCCGTCATTGTAAAGCAGTTGATGACACTTTATTATTAATATTGGTAACTGGCATGATGCCTTGATAAACGTCCTGCAAGTCTAGATACTTAATAGGAAAGAACCATTGCTTAGATTATAGTACAGATAAGATAATTATAGGGCATGAAACTATTGCTAGTTAATAGTTAAATATTTTTTTATTTAAGGACTGACCCGACGTCACAAACATCTGAAAATTCCCGTATCAGTGAAGGAAATTGTCAAGATTCGAAGATTCACAGTTTTACAAAAAAAAAAGACACCAATTACCAACTGCAACCAACCAACGGGATCCATAAGCAAAATTCACCCTAAAAACTGCGCCACAGGGAAAAACGGGGTATAAGCAAAGTGCGATGAGAGGCGGAATCCATTTTGTTCAAACCCTTCTCAGGGATTCGGCCGGTTATCGCTTCCTCTTTGCGCTGAAACAGTTCACTTCTGTTTCTCTGCTATCCGATATTAAACGATTGCCAGAATATATACATCAAAAAGAAAGAATTAAAAACTTACCAGCGATGCACTAACATATCAAATTATCAGCCATTTTGTAGTTGAACTGCAGTGTTACAAACATGAGAATATATTTTACACGTACTGTTATTTAGCGGCTTGCTCCGACATATTTGAAATTTAACATTCGGCATCAGATGTGCATAAAGAGTGATGGGCTGCGGAGAAAGAAGCTGCATTATAGATTAGTTAGCAAACTAGGAGTTGGCACTTATTCTCAGCCCAGGTGTGACTTGATGCTTCCATTTGGTTGGGATGCGCCACTTTTCCCAATGTGTGTATATATATACACACAGCAATACTGCGTTGACTGCGCCCATATGTTATCCTGGGAGGGTTTTTCTTATGCCACTACATTTTTTTTTAACAGAGACCTATATTTATTATAAAGTGACTATAACACTACAACCTGATTCATCGACTAAAGATGCGAGCTGGCCTCATCTCCAGAATGTGCAAATTTGAAGGATTTCGTCGCATCGGGGTAGCCAGAAGCCTGCTTGTACATACTCGAATTACCCCCCTATTATCATTATTGATTTTCACCACTAGTTAGGCCTACATAATTCATTCATTCATTCGAGGTACCCAAAGCGGAATATCATATTCGTAACTGCGCCAAGCCGCAAGCTATCCGGCTAGCTCGCCACCACGGGGTTAGCAGATAAACAAGTGGAAGGGTGCTTATTTATTTAACAGCGACCGAATACATCTATCGCTTATTTAGCTTTAAGCATCGTCTTAGCTCTGGTTTCAACGCGAAAACACATCCTACGTTACCAATCGCCAAAACACACATTCCCGTTAAATCGAGCATCGATCTTTCCATGTCGTTCCTGTCGGTAAATAGCTACCATCTGGCCGGAGCTTTAGGAAACCGGTATTTTGGCCGCGACATGTTACCACTCCTTTAGAAATGAATGGGGATGCGAATACACTCACCTGCGGTAATATCCTTAACCAGCGCAAAATATATATATATATTCTTCAAAAACCGTCAAAGGAGATAATGTCGGAGCCTTAATCTCAGGATGTTTCTTCTTAGGATGAGACTAACCTGGATCCTCGCTACAAACCGGTTACAATCGGCTGCCTCCTCCTGGATTTCTCTCGCTGGCTTGATTCTCTTTCTCTGTTTAATTTAAATGTCTGACATGCTCTATGGCCACGCCACATGGGCTGACGGCTTGGCTCTGCTCAACAGTCCAATGAGAAAGAAGGCTGGGCTCCCAGACAGTCGGCGATGGGGTGACATCCAACCGCCTCTGTGGATTCATTAAAAAACTCTGAAAACCCCGTTTGACACAGGTTACTCAAGTTCGACGCTGAGTAAACGCGGTTCTACCCGGCCGCACAAGTATTTCAACAGTCAACGCCAAATTCAGCCCAAATCGCGGTTGCGAGGTCAAAAAAGATCATTCAGACTGCATTTCGAAACTGCGATTACGTTGTTATAGGGGCTACGAAATCACTCATAGGATTTTCTGTTTTAAATTTAACGTACATCATTCGACACTCAAACAGCGAGTTAATAATACCCGCACATCAGTTACAGTACTTTTAGTTTTAATTCAGTGTTTTTCTTTTTCGTTTTAATTGCAACGGCGTACGTACCTGGAAGAGACGCCGTTACATTCATTCAACGTGACTACACTAAAGGTACTTGTTTAAAATGAATTTATTTAAATGGAATATTTAGGGAACTCTAGTGTAGTGTACAAGTTTTGCAAATTCTCATGCTTTTAGCTGTAAGTTGTCATACTCCAGAAGGCCTTTACTCTGCTAAATCTTAGTATTACGGTGCAATATAACTTTACGAAATAGAGTATGAGGAATATGTAGCAAAGTTAAGAATATTGTGCTGCTTGGTAAATTAAACCTTTTATAAATGATTCCTGGTGGCGTGTAGACATTTCCTTTACGCATCTTAGACAGAATATTAACATTTTAAGTAGCGACACATTATAACTAGTGTCAGCTGTAAAAGCAAGCATGACATTTGTTTTTCTTTGTTGTGATCAATATTTAAGCCATGTCCTACTTGAGGAGAAGGTATTCCAAAGATACTTTGGATTTGGAAAGGTTTCATTGTAAATTTACTCGGGAAATAAGGCTTAGAAAACTCTTCATGGAGCACATTGTGCCGCCCTCTAGAAGCTGCAATATTCCTATCAGGTGCACAGATTAACCAATCAGAGCATGGGGGTGTGTAGGCTTATCCAATCGCAGTGAATGCAAGGGAGTTGCTAGGAGATAGGGTGATGTTATGACATCACAGTATAGGAGGAGCTTGTTACCAGGACAGCAGTGTCAACGATGTAATTGGAGAAAGCTGACACTAGGGTTACTGTAGTTCAACTGAATCTTCATGAAAAAGTTAAATAAAACACACCACACATACATAACATAGCATGTTTTGCCTACAAAATTAGGGCAAATGAATATGACCACATTTAAAATATATTCCCAAACTGTACCACTTGAGGTACATCCATCATAGTTTTTGTTTTAACTATTTTATTATTTATGTATTATGTTGAGCATCAGTTTCCAACATACAGCATCTTGTCCAGTAACGTTTCACCAGCACCCGGGATTTATGTGAATGAGAAAACAGACAAAAACAAGCTGTCTGTCCTGTCAGAATAAACACGTCAGCCAGTAATGCATGTTGCAGGCCTCATCACTCATCTCTCGCTTTTGGTGTGCATAATAAGGTAATATTGTCTAGCACAGAACAAGCATAATTTGAGATTATATTTTTTGCTACAATTCTGTTAACCTCAGCGGTCAATCAGTCCAACTGATTAGTCCAACTCTAATCTGTACCTCATTCTCAAAATATGCCTTTCTGGTACAGTTAAGTAATCAGAATGAGCACACATTATGTGTTCATATCAGCCAAGGTCCTTTTTATTTAAAGTTGAAAAACTGCACATGTTTTGGTTTAATTATAATTATAATTATATATATATATATATATATATATATATATATATATATATATATATATATATATATATATATAATGTGTGTGTGTGTGTGTTTCTGTGTTTCCAATTTACCATAAAAAATGAGTTATATTACATTAAATTAACTTTTCATCCCAGCATATAAAAATACAGATGCTTTTCAGTCTTTGATGTTGTAGTTTCTTATACCAGAAGCCTTCCCATGACTTTTGGCCTTCATGCTGGGCTTGCCAGCTGCCCTTGTCATTTTCTTCCTCTCCTGAACAGGTATCTTTGTACCCTGGAGAGATACCCTGTGTGCTGGGCCTGGTCTGCCTCCTCCGGCTCGCTCGGAGTCCGCCCCTGCTCCAGATGACACCCAAAAAGGACAGAAAACAACAGGCTTGCCTCTTATTTTACAAGTAACACACAAATTACCCACTAGGGTTATTTGCCAGATAGTAGCTGCCAAAACGGTTAACATTTTTTGATTAATCCCTGAACAGCAGAAAGTGAGGAGGAAAAAGGACTAAGGATCACAAGTGTTCCTTATGATAAGAAATCGCTGCTTTGCCCAGGAATCAGGAGAGTATTGTAAAATGGAAACGATTCCTGTTCAAGGTTTTTGTGCTGAGGATGACCTGCCAATGGGCAAAGCCAGCGAGAGACGACGTTGGGCTGACCAGAGCACATATGCTCTTTTGCAACCACTGATGCAAGTCTGTGGCTGGGCGAAGCAGAGCATTTAAGCACAAAGCAAACATTGTTGGACCCATCCAGGATAACCTCTGACCTGTAACGCTCTACAACACAGTGCTGCTATCTGTAACCAGCTCATCTCGAGCATCAGCACACAGGGACTGTGGAACATGGACAGATTTTAAATTCAGTTAACCTGAGCTCAACAAATTCTCTACTCTTTCATTTACATATCCTTCATACAAAAAAAGTAATATGCAAGTCACTAATCATCATAATGTCACGTTAGCCAAAATACTTCCAAGTCTAGAGAGTACAGTCTGTAAATTATCTTTGCTATGCCACCGGAGCCTTCAAATATAGATGAGAATTTACATTCCAAAAAAATCAAAGGAGGATGGAATTAAGAGGGGAGATTAATGCTGGAACTTGAATGCATATTGTATTTTTGGAAGGAAAAAAGTTGAGTAGATATGATTAAGTCCTAATTTTTTGTTTAATGAAGATTTTCAACTATTTACTTTAGCCTTGTGAGGGGTGCACCTCATGCTTCTGTAATCATGCTTCGTATATTTACAATGTAATATATTGTAAATCAATTATCAGATTTCAGATATGCTTATTATTGATGTAATGTAAAACACCTGCAGCCCTACCCTGAGTGGGGTTCTAAGCCTTTTATCTCCCATCACCAGTGAAATACAGAGGGGGGGCTCACCGTGAGGACATCTCCATGGGAACAGCAACAGGAGGCAGCCCCTGAACCTAGAGGTGAGTCTTCTGCTTGAGTAACACCGGGCCCAGACCCAGATGCCATACTTCTTGGGGCTGGGCCCAGATACACAGAGGCAGCGCCAGTAAGTGTCCATTCCAGCCTCTGTCAATAAGCTGACTGACAGGGGACACAACAGGCCACTGGGGTAGCCGACCCTGACCGGACAGCATCAGGTTACTGCCGTTCTCAGCTTCTGCTTCCTACCGAGGATTCATACTTAGCTATAAAGTACGTCAATTACGCATTTCAACGTTACATCATCACGGGCGATTACCAATTAAGAGGAATAATGGGATAATTAGTCATGGACTGGAGCAACCAGCAAAACCAGTTACCTTAAAGCAGAAGGCTGTTTGAAAAATGCACAACCAGTCTAGAAAATGTGTCACTGGAAATGCCTGAACGTGGCCTCCTTTAACGATGAAGGCAAATGACCTGTTACTCACCAACAAATGTCAGTTAAAACTAATTGTTAAGCATGCATGGAATCAGATGCATTACAGTCACACGCCATATAACAAAGTTTTGGTCAATGAAGGACTATATATACGACGGTGGTCCCGTAAGATTATAATAGATCTGAAAAATTCCCGTCGCCTAGTGATGCATTACTAATGTGTTTGTGCTGATGCTGGTGTAAATAAGCCTGCTGCACTGCCAGTCGTGTAAAAGTATAGCATGTACAGTTATGCACAGTACATAGTACTTGATAATGATAATAAACCACTATATTACTAGTTTATGCATTTACTGTACTGTACTTTTTATTATTTTACAGTGCACTCTTTCTACTTATAAAAAATAAGGCTTTGTGTAGCCTAGGTGTGTGGTAGACTATGCCACCTAGGTTTGTGTAAGTACACATCCCCACAACGAAGAAATTGCTCAATGATGCATTTCCCAGTATATATCCCTGTCGTTAAGGGACGCATGACTGTAGAATGAAGAGCTGTGTAAAAACGGGATTTCACAGTATTTGTAACATTCAAACAGCCTGTCCTGTAGCACTGTGACTTTAAACCACAGCACAAGTATAAATCTTCCTAAATAGGTCTGGGAATTTACAGTAAAACTGCAGCACAAACACGTGGGAGGTTGATCTCATGGACTCCACATGCACTGCGTGCTTCCAGATCTGGCAGCCTCACGGTGGTTGAGAAACCCTTCGCCATGCCGTTTCAGCAGACAGTGGACCCTGGCTATCTGATACAGGCGTGAAACAAGGCCAGTCCCTAGGCGACCTCTGTCCCTGAAACCTGGCCTGGGATCAGGACACACATCTCACCCCATTTTCATAACTTCATGTGTACTCTTGTCCCTAGGAGACTGTCATTTCTGCTGATGCCCTTCTCCCAAAGGACCTTTCCAGAGTCATGTTGCGTCCACCATTCTCTCCCATAATGCCTTGCAGGCTAAGAATTCTAAACCAAGCTGTGATAAGTACATCTTTCACAGTGGCCCTTTCATCCCCATATGCTGAATTACATGACCGACATACTAGACTGTTTGTTGCTGTTCGGATATCCTGCTGCTTCATTTAATCTGTGAGAAGTTCTTTGTTCGTAAGTTCGGGTCGTGAAAGTGATTAAAGAATATTATTTGGAAGCAACGTTAAAAAACGAATTCACTGCAGGATTCACAAAATCTAATCTAAGAAAAATTTAAATCGCTATGACAACATGGGCTCAGGAATCCAGGGTAAGAGAGAAAGTTTACAAAGGATAAAATAAATATAAAGTTTCTTCATTTTATTTACTGAGTATAACTAATATGAAATGTCATGCAATATATATGCAATTCTGAACGGGGGGAAATATTCTTAAAGTAATTAAACCAGACAATGTTAGGTACATTTCGACTATTGCAGCTAATGATTAAAGTTTTACTTAACTCCTATAGACTTTTTTCTTATTTATATTTAAGTGACTTACTAGTTCAGTGGAGGGTCATCATTTCATCCTGAGGCAGCTTGGGGGAAAACGGCGGAGCAAAGGGGATGGAGGTGACGGTGTAAGCGTGTGCACCCACCTCCGTCAGCGCCATCCCCGGGGGTGAGGCCCGAAAGGCTGGAGGCCACCTCCAGCATGTGCCAGACGTCCTGCAGGGAGCTGTCTGTGCCCAGGGAGGACATGAGGGCCCGGGGCGCCCCGGGAGAGTGCCTGAGTCTTTCAGGGAGCGCATTCTCCTTCTCTGCCCTGGAACGCTGTTTGGTCAGGGAAGCGGAGCTGTCAGACCTTCCTGCGGGCTACCTGGCTATAATGTCATTAGATTAGTGCTGCCGTACCTGCTGGCCGACACGGACGCCCTCATCCCGGCCCCTGCTGTCGGACTCAGACAGGCGCACCATTGCTCTTACAGGGGTCTTCGTAAAATCCTCTTGCTGTGCGTACTGCAGATCCTGACAACAAAGGAGACGACCATCCCCTTAACAAGGACGACATGAATCCTAGACTACCCTCTTTTGGGCAGCATGCTCAGTACCCATAGGTTGCTGACAGACCTACAGTTCCCTACTCCTTGGGCTCCCTCTAGTGGATGAAAGAAGCCATCAGGCTCTTGGCCGCCATAGCGACACAGTGACGGAGCTGCCAGCTCACCTGCTTGGTGAGCTTATACTGTAGCTGCTCCAGAGCAGACAGGGGATTCTGCTGCTGCTCCGGGGTGTAGACCTCAGGAACCGGGTCGGGTCTGTTAGCGGGACCAGGGGGCTGAGCAACTGCCAGGGAGTATAAAGAGTGGCACCATTATTCAGGCCGGACGGCCTCAGTAATCAGAACCAGTACCTGTATGGTGTCTGTCCATTTTTAACTGCAAGCAGTGAACAGAATTCTGGGAGAGGAGACAGTCGCTTGCACTTGACAGTGAAAACTACACAGACTGTCAATCAGGCAACATTCTAGGGACCCCGAAACACCGTCAGTGCTCTCCTATATCTATATCTATATGTCTAGTCTCTAAAACAGGTGAGGCTCCTGTCTGACTAGATGGCCAGGAGCAACATACAACATTTAGTAATTATTAAAATGATTAAAAACCTGTAACATTTTTTTTGTCCACAAGGATAACATCAGTTTTATAAACATCTGTGGATGCAATAAAAAAACTAAAAGTGCTGAAAGTCTTGTATTGTGTTTGGTTACTTATTAAGTTGGTTAAGGTTGGTTAAGGTTAGGGCTTGGTATGGGTTAAGGGTACCATAGTTGGGATTAGGGTTATGCCCAAGGAGTCCCCACAAAGATATGAGTACAGGTCTGTGTGCCTGTGTTTTAAACTGTGCACGCTTGTTTACACTTGTCAATAAAGTTGCGGGTGTAACCGTGGAGACCGGCTGCGACGAGCTGCCCCCTCAGCCGGTTCCCCATCTCGATGAGCCTCTGCTTGTCCTGGCTCAGCTGGGAGATGCACCGCACTGCCTTCTTTAGCTTGGCCTGCAGCTGGGCGGGGCTGGCGCCAGCCCAGGTCTCCATGGCAACCACATCCTCGCTCCCCCGCCCCAACAGCTGCTGCCTCAGGTGCAGGTTCTCCTTCTGGAGCTCCTGCAGCACTGTGCTCTGGGGACAAAGCAGAGAGCGGTGTCCTGCTGAACAGAGGGCAGGATTTAATAATGACCCTGTGGCCTTTGTTGTCCCAGAGGGAGGCAGAGTTGAACCTGAACAGAACTAATCAATAATCAACTGTATAAATTAGTAAAATTATGCTAAAACTGAGTAACAAAATATAGTCAAAGTCCCCTTGCAGAACATTCACATTTTTCAATTTAAAACATCCTTCTATCTTTACCTGTTCAACAACAATGGGCTCTCGTCGGCTTGCGATATCCAGCTTGAGGGCGGAAACCTAAATATCAAACCCAGAGTCGACGATTTCCGGTGATGTAATGGCAGAGTGTTAAACAGCTTTTATGTCTGTCAAACATGCTGTTTGTGCAACAAACACCTCATGCAGGCATGTTTCAGAGCAGCTCTACATTGGGGAAGGGGCCAGAGGGTGGATGGATGGATGAATGTCGATGCCTAAACTGCACTAAACGAGCTAGTAAAAGTGATAAAGCTGTTACTCCTGAGATCTCAGACTCGACATATGTAAGTGTTATCTGCCATACTAAGGTGGCTATGTTAACAGGGACCCTAGACAGCAAGCTTTCCCTTCTCTACTCCACAACCAGTCATGATATCTGATGACATCAGAGGCCGGGGGTAGCAGACCCTGGGAGCCAGAGAGTCAGGCTGGACTTTTCTAATACACCTTTTAATGGAGTTACTGCCGTCATCATTCAGATAATTGCCTGGCACAACATTTCAGCTGTAAATCAGAAGCCACATATAACATTTTTTAAGGAAATGGAATTGAACAGATGGGTTTGTTACAGGTCATTCTCTACTGGATTGGATCACCTCTAGGGTTTCATAGGTCAGGCTCCACTACACTGGATCACCTCTAGGGTTTGTTCATGGTTCAGACACTGGCTCACCTGGTTGCCCAGGGCTACAGCCTCCAGGTTCTGCAGCAGGCTGCCCCTCTGGTACTCCTCGGCCTCCCGCTTAACCTCATCCAGCTCCATTTCCACAGCAGCCAATCTCTGTCGCAGCCCCGCCTCTTCTGCAGCTACTCGCTTCTTTTGATTGGCTAAATCAAAGTGCAACTCATCACACTCCACCTGCTTTGAATGGAGCTGTGGAGAAAGTGGCACGGTCCATCAGTCTGACTGCTGTCTACGCAAAACTCCAGACAAGCATTTTAGCGAGAGTCGGACATGTTCAAAGACAATTAAGACGGCTTAATATAACTATTTTGTGTTACCAAAAACATTCTAATTATTGCATAACAAAACAATTTAAAAATCATGAAATCATACATTTCTACTCAAGTAAATATGAGGAACAGCTAATTTCATCAGAATTGTCCCTTAAGGAAACATATTAACGCTAATTAGCTTAGCTGCTAACGGCTAAGTGCAGGCTGACTGAGGAGAGCGTGTCCGTACCTGCTGTGTGACCCGGGACAGGGAAGACTCCAGGTGCGCCACCCTCACTTCCAGTTTTCTCAAGGCAGCAGCACTGGACACTTTTTCTACTCGCAGCCCACCTGCCATCATGCGTTTTCATTGTGCTCAGTCAGACAGGGCTCAGAAGCCAAGCCGTACTACATTTACCAACAGCGTATCCAAGCCACAAAAATAACTGCTGAATTATCGGAAATAAAATGTCCTTTTGTTTTTTTAAATGAAACAGTCAGGCTTGTGTGTTGGGGGATGGGATGCTGCTTTTGAAGAAAAGCTGTAAAAGAGTGCTTTAAAAATCACTGGTGAGTATATCGCCATCATGTGGATCAAAGGTGTAACTGCTGCTGCACACTCTACCCAACAATGACTTTATTCAGAGCACAGCACTGAGATTTCTTTCAGAAAGGACCAGACAGACAGACACCTGTTTTTTTGGCATTTTAGGACCGTCATGTCTCCTGCATTCAAGGTCACATGTGTTTACATACAGGATGTCAGCTCTAATCCCCTCACCGATTGTTTCGTTGAGGCAGCGGATGTGATTTTGGAGGTAAGCGTTGTCAGCGGAGACAGGGAGAGCTGGAACGGGTGCGGGGCTGGCGGCGGTGGGACCGGAGCTTTTGAGGGCCTCCTCCAGCTGCTCCTCCAGGCGCCGGCAGCGGGTCTTCAGCTCCCGCACCTCCTCCTCCAGAGCCTGACTGTACTCCGGGCTGCCCTCGCCAGTGCCTGAAGTGAATGCACCCAAGATGTCTGTCCCCATACAGTGCGAGCCATCCCACCCAGCCTATAATAAAGTGAGAGGGGCGATCTGTGTCCACATATTCTTCTCATGACCAAGGGCTGGTCTGCACTGGTCCATTTTGGCTCTGCTTCACCCCGTCAGTCACAGTGCCCTGCCCACCCCCAGACATCATCTACAAATGAATCTCAGATTCTGCCGTATGTCACCTGAAAACTGAACATTTACAAATTTGATCCAGTAACATATCAAAAATCAGGAATTTCTTTAGAAAATTACGGTAATGAGATTATTCTCTACAAGCTACTACAAATAGCAACTGATGAACGTGGTGTGTGTCCATAGGCATCTATATGGAGTTGATCCCACCTTTGCAACTATAACAGGTGCCACTCTTCTGGGAAGGCTTTCTGCAAGATTTCGGAGTCTGTCTGTGGGATTTTTTTGCCCATTCAACCATGAAGAGCATGTGTGACGTCAGGCACTGATGTTGGACATGAAGGCCTGGCTCGCAATCTCCATTCTAGTTCATCCCAAAGGTGTTTGATGGGGTTGAGGTCAGGGCTCTGTGCGGGCCTGTCAAGTTCTTCCACACCAAACTCAACCCAACCATGTCTTTATGGACCTTGCTTTGTGCACTGTGGCACAGCCATGCTGGAACAGAAAATGGCCTTCCTGAAACTGTTCCCACAAAGTTGGAAGCATAGAATTGTCTGAAAATGTCTTGGTATGCTGAAGCCTTAAGAGTTCCCTTCACTGGAACTAACATTCTCCTGGCATCGACCAAACCCATACCCATCCATCAGACTGCCAGACATAGAATCGTGATTCGTCACTCCACAGAACATGATCCCACTGCCCAGAGTCGGCATGCTTTACACCACTCCATCCGATGCTTGGCATTGCGCTTGGTGATGTGAGGCTTGCATGCTGCTGCTCGGCCATGGAAGCCCATTCCATGAGGCTCCCAGTGCACAGTTTTTGTGCTGGAGTTAATGCCAGAGGAAGTTTGGAACTCTGCAGTTACTGAGTCAACAGAACCCTGGAGACGTTTACGCACTATGCACCTCAGCACTCCTCAGCCCTGTCACTTTACGCTGTCTGTCACTTCGTGGCTGAGTTTCTGTTGTTCCTAAATGCTTCCACTTTGCAATAATACCACTTACAGTTGACTGTGGAATATCTAGTAGGGAAGAAATTTCATGAACTGACTTATTGCAGAGATGGCATCCTATGACAGTACCACTCTTACATTCACTGAGCTCTTCTGAACAACAAATGCTTTCACAGATTGTGCAAACCTGACTGCATGGCTAGGTGATTGATTTTATACACCTATGGCAATGGGTCTGAATGAAACACCTGCATTCCATGATTAAAAGGGGTGTCCCAATACTTTTGTCCACATAGTGTATTACGTTGCGGAGGACCAAATATCTCCACAATGTGATACAAACCTTTAATTTTGACATTGTGGGGACCATTTTTTCAGTCCCCATAAGGGAAACTCAATTTTATAAAAATCTGTGACTATGATCAAAAAAACTAAAAATGGCAAAAGTCTCGTTTTTTTTTGTTGGTTATTTATGGTTAAGGTTGTCATAATTTTTCCCATAGAAATAAATGGATGATCCCCAGAAAGATATGCATACAGACGTGTGCGTGCGTGCATGTGTGTGTGCATATTCTCCACGTGTCCCACAGGTTTCCTCCCACAGTCCATAGACTGGCAGTTAGCTCAAACAGAGCCTCCACATTGCCCACAGTGTTTGTTTGCCCCCCAGTGGCCTGCTACCTGGAATGGGCTTCAGACTGCCCTGTAATCCTGCACTGGATAAGCAGCAAGATGAATGGATGTACAATGTTGTTCCATGGCTGAGTATCAATCACTATTATAAATGGCTGGAGACCATGCTTTCACCAGGAAAATATAAAGGCTTTTAAGCAAATTGTGTTAATCGCTTTTTTCAGCATGTTTCCATAAGCTCTCATCAAGCTTAATTTATTGCCTCTACCAACAACCCCAGGAAGCGTCATATTATACACTGATTCTATTTCCACCCAAATGAATGCAGGCAACCTGTTAGAAGATCCCAGCTTCACTGCATCATCTGAAGTCGAGACGCACCAGCCAGCCAGGCCAGCTGAAGACGGCACTCAGGCAGCAGTTAAACCTCCCAGCGTGTCCTGCATCACACTCGAAAAGCAGACGCCGGCAGGGAAAGCACCTACCCGCGGGGGGGGGCTCTGTGGGGAGCTTCTCGCTCAGGTTCTCCATGTCCTTCCTCATCTGGGCGATGGCAGCGCGCAGACTGCTATTCTGCTGCTGCAGACGCTGGATCTCCTCGGAGGGGAAGCGGCCGGCACCGTCCGCAGGACCCTGAGCGAGCAGGGGGGGTGAGAGGGGCGTGTTCTCTGAGACAGGGCTTCACAAAAGGCAGCGTGTGAGACTATTTCCTTCCAGCTCATTTGCCTAATTTGACCAAATAGCAACTTCTTATACCTATAAGTGCTCAAAGCTTTGTCTTTCTCCAGAATGCTTGAAGTAAAGCACTGGCTGTTAGCCAGGATCTGTAATGACCAAAGCGTTCGCTCCATGCTGCACGACCGCATGATCATGAGCACTTCTGATTGCAAGCTCTACCCCAGCATATAAATGCAAGACTCATGCGAATCCACCAGATGGAGACAGGTATCAGGTCACGGTTAAAGGTTAGCAAGCAGGGTCAGAACATATAAAATTGTTTTATCCTAACCCTCTCACTTGGCCTAATGGTTAGGGGAACGTGCTTGCGAGTGTAATGTTGCTGGTTCACGTCTTCGACGAGCAAGTTACCACTGAGGTACTCCGAGCAAGGTACTGCTCCCTGGGTGTTGAATTAGCGGCCCCCTGCTATGTCACATGTGGGTTAAATTCAGAGGATGCATTCTGTTGTTGTGCACTGTGGCGTATCGACAATGACAATTAATCACTTCACTTAAAATATTACAAAACAGATCTGCCATGACTCAGACTATATGGAAGCTACATTCAGGTCCTGTTTTGTACAATGCCTGTAGCAGATATTTCCACAGCATATTTCAACTATGGAAACTAACAGCGTAAGAAGGCAGAACCTGACTCAGGTTCTCACTTCCCTTTTTGTGTCTCGTCACCTGCAATAAAAACAATAATAATACAGAGACTATTATAAGAGCACATACTTTTACCCTTTTCTGCTACTTTGTGTTAATTGAATATAAATATAAGCTGTCCGTGTATATTAATTTCTTATTAATGTTATGGTTTTTCCAGGTATTAATGTGGCCAGATTTAACTGCACAGCAAAACAAAGATCACGCCAACATGCGGTGGAGGGCACAATCTCCATTTGGAAAGCCCTCACACGGAGCGTGAGCCTGAGTGCTCTTGGCTGCCTGCCTGCACGCCGGTGTTTGTGTGCCAGTGTGAGATACCGGAGCTCCGGGAAGCACACTGATGTTCAGACGGCCATTTTGTTTCCAGCACTCTCTAAGAATAGCCTGCTGACCCATCTGGGTCGAGTGGATTCCTCGGATAAGCCTCGGCACAGGTCTGCTCCCGCTGGAATGCATCTCGGCAAAGTGCGCTCTTCTTAGAAAACCCTGTGTCCCTTTATATCTGCTGACACATCCAAGCCCCCCCCCCCCCCCGCGGGGACGGAGCGTGCGGGCAGGGTCTGATTACATAGCTGACGGGTTGGCCCTACAGGATGCCCATCAGATCATCCACAGAAAAGACACCCTCCAAAATTAAATCTACATCCAAATGGGGGCTGTCAGGTTTCTCTGTAATAAGTCCTAAGAAGCACATGTCGGTTCCATGGCAAAATGCTTCTGTTAATGATACAGGACTGTGACAGAGTTAATAGTCACTTCTGGAAAAATCGGGCCTACGTGCCGAAGACAACGACCGTCGGCAGACAGTAGGCAGGAAATGACACTCCATTCATGGGGCGTGCTGATTCTGCGAGTCAGCTGATTACTCACTGTGGAGAGTTAATTTCCAACTAAAGGAAGTGGCGCAATTATGGTCTCAGTTACCAGCTTTGTAAAATGTAACTAGGAAATTAACCAAGACAAGACGCCAGAACGTAGAGTTTCGGGGGAAAAGGTACGAAACTTGGAAAAAAACTGGCCGCAAAAACCTACAGTGTCCTGGTGTCAGGGACAGCGTGCTGAAAAAGCAGCCGAGAGCAGAAAGGAAGGGACAAAAGGAGTGAGGGGGACGATCCTCAAAAGCTGTGTGACCAGTTCAAGCATGAGCAAGGCCTAGGGGGGTGGGGGGGTGTCGAGCTTTAGCCTGTCTGGAGTTTGGAGTTACAGCTTCTTATCCAACAGGCCACTTCCCTTGTCACTCATCAAGTGGAGGCAACCGAAGAAGGTCAGGCTGCGTGCCAGACTGGAGGGTCCCGGATAAGTGACCGTTCAACCAGCCGGACAAGGGGATCCTGTGTCAGTGGACAGCCCACATGCAGTGCTGGCGGACGGGGGCTAGTGGAATCCGAAACATGCCCCTCACACCGCGGCTCCCTATCTGGCACGAGGGAAGCGCAGCCGGGCGCAGCCTTACGTGAGCGTCCACGCCAGCAGCAGCCTGCGTCCCTGGCGTCCCGCGGTGGGCCTGCTCCCTCTCCGCGGTGACGCTGCGCAAGAGGGCCGCCATCTCCTGTAACTCCCGCTCCTTCTCGCGCAGCTCCGCCGTGACCTGGAGAGATGTCTGTCAGCTCCTCCCGACCCCGCGTCGCCCCCTCAGGCCCAGGGAGTGGGCGTCCAATACCACAAAGTACAGCAGAACATTTGCCGAATCTGATTAGACTCCCCGTTTTTCTAAACAGATGTGACGTTTCCATGTATGAATAACGTGCTCGACGTGCCGCTTTTCAGTTCGGCCTGTGGGAGGTGATGTTATGATGTAATGACGGCAGCCCTGAAGATGGGAGACCCAGCCGGCCACGCCCTTCCGCTTGGCCACGCCCTCCCGACGACCACACCCTTCCGGTTGGCCACGCCCTCCCACCTGGCCACGCCCTCCCGGCCAGCTATGCCCTCCCAGTCCATCACCTGGTCACGGGCCTGCATCAGGCCCTTCACAAGCTCCTCATTCTGTTGGTACTGCAGCGTCTTGGCATCCTCCATGCGGCGCTGCCAGTCCAGCTCGGCTTGCAGACGTGCGCGCTCCAGGTCCTGCTCTCGCTGCACCCCCTCGCACAGCTGCAGCCGGTACCTAGGCCCCAGTGAGCGTATTAGAGCCCGGCAGGGCACTGGGGGAGCGAGGGTGTCCACGCACGGCCCACACCTTTCCACATCCTCCGTGCGCTTCTGCAGCTCGGCCCTCAGCTTGGCCTCCCGCTCGCCCAGCGACTGCAGCTCCAGGTCCCTGGACACCTTCTCCTTGGCCGTCTGCTTGACGTGAGCTTCCCATGCCGCTCGGCCGGCGTCCAGCTCTGCGCGGAGTCTGATCAAAATGGCGGCACAGGTCACACCGTGAACATGAATGGGATCTCGCTAATCGTACCGACACAACCCTCTAACTAACTACTCACTGATCTTAATGAAAGACATGCAACATGCTCAGAGAGATAATCGCGAGCATCGGAAAAGGGGGTTTTATGTGTATTCAGAGTTATCCCTTCCCCGCTTAAAGCCTTCATCCAGTTAAATTTGCACGTTTGTTTGCCAGAGAACAGTCTAATCGCTGGAGCGCTGCTGAGCACGCAGGAGCGCTGCTGAGCACGCAGGAACGCCGCTGAGCACGCAGGAATGCCGATGATGCAACGCTGTCCCTAAGATTACGGGGCTATAAGAAAGCAGGGACGCGATTAAAGTTGCGTGACACCAGCGGCCATAACGGAGCGGATCGCGATAAAAAAGACAGCGTGGACATGACCGGGGGGGGGGGGGAAGGCTGTAGCCACTTCGCCAGGTGGGGCTGGTTCTGGGTAGGCGGGACTGCAAGTAGACACTGTGAATGCCAGCTAGCATGACTGGGCAATAAACATCTGCTGGAGACCAGCTATGGCTTGCATATTCCACACTGAGGATTAACTTCCAATTACATTTATATAACTATTCACTTTTAATATTATGTATTTAAAGAAATACAACAAAAGTCTTAGACAGTCAAAGAAAATGTTTTAAGTGTTTTATCTGGGTGGTGAGTGCATAATGCTCGAAGAAAAAAAATAATTTAGCATTAGAATATATGCAAATGAACAATAACACAACGAAAACTAACAAGAATTTCTTCTGTTCTCCAAAAAGTTACTGATATCTTCTGAAACATCATTTCAGTTCCCAAACCTCTCTTCAATGAGGAATGGTTTAGCCAAATGGTGTACTAGAGTGTATTGGATGGTTGCTGCAAAAATTGGGGTGACTTTAGGAGCGGTTTTGAAACGGTTAAGCTGACACACTTTGACAGGCATAATATCATAGGTTTATACCAAGATGAAGGTCATTTAAACATCCTTTTCTTTGATTGCCTAAGACTTTTGCACAGTGCCGTATCTATGTCCATTATTCATTATTAATCCTTTATAATTAAATTCAGCACGGTTGGTGCCCGTCACCGTCACGCAGCCCAAGCCAGGAACGGCCAGCTGTACAGCGCCCCTCCCGGGCTGCAGTGCGCGTGGGGCTGCCTGCGAGGCCTCACTCTGCCAGCTGTGCGTCCCTGTCCCCGAGGAGCTCGGCATGGTCGCTCTCTGCCCGCCGCTTGTCCTCCAGCGCTGTGTCCAGCCCCGCCTGCATCTCCTGGGCCCGTGCCTCCGCCCGGCGGAGCTGCTCGCAGCGCACGTCCCTCAGGGATGCCACGGCGGCCTCGCGCTGCCGCACGCGCCGGTCCAGCTCCTCATGCCTGTGGGCGGAGCCACACACACACACACACATCCCCAGGCGATGACATTGTCACAGGCTCACAGTTTTATCTGCCGGGATTATTTTCTAATACCTATGAAGCGGCCATGTTGGCAATGGCCCTATATATAAATGATTTTAAATGCAAACTTAAATGAAACCAATTTAGATTTACAGTAACCTATAATTACACAAACACTGCTCAGAAACCCATTAAGTGTGATTAGAAGCATGCCCGGAGGAAGCTCAGTGCACACAGCGTACTGAAGGACCCCCCGACTGTGACGGCACTGTGAGACACTCACTTCCTGTTGTACACTTCCTCCTCCTTCTTGCGATATACCTCAGCGGCACTCAGCCTGTCCTCCAGCTCCTTTATCCTGTAGAAACAGGCCATCCCTTCACGTCCCTGCACTCTACATTCGAAGTGCACTGACCCAAACCTCAGTAATCCTGTTTCCAAAAACCCATGTCTGTCCTAAGTTTTCTTTTCCTTCAAGTTTAGCAAGCACTCAACTGGTATTTTGTTCACCAAAGGAGTCAATCACTCAAAACTCGGAACACACATAATAATCAAATTCAAAGGACTTTTTAAGGATTATGCTGGTTTTCAGGGCCAAACGTGGCCTTGCAGTTTCTCGATCTATACTGTTATTTCTAGTCAGAAGTCAGGGTGTACTCTTACGTAAATCTGGGTATAGGTCCATGCAGGGGTGCCATAAAGGGGGAAGAAATTAGAACGATTCTGAAGGCCCCTGAATGACAGGGGCCCTAAAAAATTTGGAACATAATTGGATTGTTCTGGGTTGGGGCCCATAATCTTCAGCGGTGCCCCAGGGCTCATGTCTCTTGCCACAAAGCAAATCCAAAAGCTGCTTACTGAGCACAATTTTATTACCGTGCATCCTTGACAGCACAGACATCCTCCATCTCCCTCTCCTTGTGCTGGAGGTCCCGGCGGGCGTCCTGGAATGACCCCTGACACTCCTTCAGGGCCTCTTCTGTCTGTTTTTGGGCCTGGGCGTGTGCCTCCACCTCTCGGCTCAGGAGACCAACCTGGGCAACAGGAGCGCTAGGCTGAGAGAGCAGGATGGGGAGCTGGGCCAGACCTCTGGCGATGGACGCGCTCGCTCACCTTGAGCTCGTGGGAGTAGACCGCACTGCTCATCTCATCCCTCCTCAGGCTGAACTCACGCTCCCTGCGCTTCAGCTCATTGTCAAATTCCATTATAAGTTCCTGCCAATGAGGGATAGCAAGCAAACTATAATTTTTGCCACAGGAATGTGGAGCTTGGTGCTCCAGTACAACGCCCTAAGCCATCGACTAAAAGCACGTAGATGTATGTTACACACCCACCCCATAAAGACAAGACACATTCAGACACATTCCATTACTACATTTAGTCACATGACTTGCAAAGTGTACAGCCAATAACTTGGTTCCCAACCAGGGGATCTCCAAGACATTTTAGCGAAAATATACCGTCGCAATTCAGTAGCTTTTCTTTGTAAAAGTAGCTCTCAAAGTAAAAAAAAGGTTGGCGACAGCTGGCCTACAGTTTCATTTCATTACTTTTGATATATATAAAAAAACAATAACTATAATCAGATGTACTGATTCTACTTCAATAAAAGCTCTAATAATAAGCCACATTCCTTTGCTGGGGGTGACGGAGCCGTTCTGCTGCTAACCGTAATTAGCGACAGCTGCCCTTGCTCACTCACAGCCCTGAGAGCTAGCAGAGCATTTCCCCCCCCAACAAAAGGACCTGCGCTGAAACGCTCCCCAGGCACCTGCGCCCTGACCCTGCTGCCTGCGAATCTCTGCCAGCAGGGTGGCCTTTCCTGCGGCCTTTAAATATCACACCATGTCACGCCCTTTGAAAGCTACGATGTCACGCTTGTCCGCCAAAGCCCTGTCAGGCAGAGGGCAGAGCGTGTCTTTAAAGGCCACGTCTCAGAAGTGGGGCGACAGTCCACTCTACAGTGCACATCTGAGCTGGGTTACACCGAATACAAACCATAATACAGACCGACTTGCAGAAAGTTGGTCACGGAAGGTGTCATGCCGAGTTTTTAATTGGTGAGATGCATACATCACTCCCTCCTGTAGGGGGCGCCGTTCCGGGCAGCAGTACCTGTTTCTGCAGGGCCAGCTCCCCCTGGACCTCCTGGATCCTTCGTTCCAGTTCACGCTTCAGTACCTCGTACTCTTCCCTGTGCCTCTCGATTTCACGATCCTTCATGCTGAAATGTGAGACAGGTGGACACACATATATATATATATATATATACATAGACAGGCGGACACACATATATATATATATATATATATATATACACATACGAACGAAGAGGACTGTAAGTCCAAATTGTGTTCATTGGGCTCTGTCCGCAACATCAATGTTTTTTTTTCCGCGCACCAATTCCGGGTAGTACGACTTCTGCCCGCTACTCCAGCCGCGTAACGTAACATGCGTACTCCCAGCATCCTAGTTATCTGTACTTGCGTATACCCTTAAAATGATGTTGAATAACGACTTACATTTCAAGTTAAGAACGGCCGTTTGGAATGTATGTCATTTGTAAGGAGAGGAGCGTCTGTATACATATATATTGTATGTATCAGTCACATATCCATAATGCGGAATCCCAGCAGTACTACAGCGTCAGGATGGCACACACAGCCGCCCTATCCTGACCTGACAGTAGCATAATAGTTCTTCAGTCCTCAGGGCCTCAAAAAGCAAACTACTGAATCATCCCAGCAGAGCAGAAAATATTAGACCCGTGAGTCCCCCCTCCCACACCATGAAAACTGGCAAATTGCCCACTACCTAAATGCCGCTCAGTTATCCAGGATTTTCACCAGACCTCCATCTATACACTCCAGAAACCTTTCTCTGAGCTATCTGCCTTCGGACATGCATTTTTCCCCATGTCCAGCTGCAGGGGCCTTACCTCTGCACTCTCTCCAGCCGAAGCTGGTGCTCAGCCAGCTTCTGCTTGTGCTGCAGCTGCAGCTCCTCTCGAACCCGGGCCTCGGTGGCCACGGCCTCCTGCAGCTTGTCGATCTGGATGCGTAGCTCGCTGATTTCGGCCCTCCGGGCGTTTTCGGAGCTGCCAAGCCGGGCTGCCATGGCGTCGTAATGGTCCAGTTGGTGGTCGCGCTCCTCCAACACCCGCAGGTTGTACAGGAAGTCCTCCCTGAGTTGCAGGAAGCGTGCCCTCTCAGCGGAGAGCTGTGCTCTGGTGTCCCGCAACGCACCCTCCAGCTGCTGGATCCACCGGCCCTGCAGCTCCTTGCACTCCTTCTCCTTGTGGGCCAGCTGAACCTCGAGGTCCTCATCCTGCATAGCTGTGAAGATGTATGACATACAAGTTATGAAAGTAGCATAACCAGGTACCAGAAGGAGACTGGCTTTAGTACAACTGAGCAGAACAGTGGTTTTGATTGTGGTGGCCATCGGGGGCCAGTTACATTTATGGGGGCGACAGCGCTACGCTCTGTGATCGACCCCAGGAGCACGGTGCAAAACCAGAACTGCTCCAAGAAAACGAATGTTGTAATGGCAAACGCAAAAGTAAATTCTTATTAATCTCCATTAACCCTACAGCAAGAAAATGACAAGCCTCATAATTTTCTAATATTCAAAAATCCCAGCTGTATTAATATTCAGCAAATTTACAAAATCAGAATTGGTTAGGGGAAGCTGAGGTGTAAAGGGACACGTGAAGTGTAATCAGATCAGCCGGGATAACACAGATCCATCCTAAGCGTCCCCTTCGGGGAACCGTGTCACCTGCGCACACATGAAGAATTTAACTTTTTACTAGTTTCTCTGTTGTTATTATGGGAATGCTTAATACTGCAGTGGACGCTGGTTTAGAGAAGTAATGCTACCTTATCCAGCTACAAACCATGTGCCTGTTGTATGACAACACGGCTAGATAGTTTACATTATGCAAAATATACCAATTGTGATAGGGTGATAAAAGCAGGTGGTAAATAACAGCAGTGCCATTCAACAGCTGTTTACTGCAAGGTAATTGATATATCTAACTATATTAAACTGAACTAAACAATCACAATATATTCAAAACGCACTATTTCCACAAACTAATTTTCAATACGCTACATGAAGTTTAGCGACCTAGTATACTAGAAGAGATTACTTTGGAATTATCGTTTGGAACAGAGGTTGCAAAAATTAAAGCTTATGCAAAAAGAACTTACTAGCTAAGAAACGGTTTACTTTATTATATATGTTTTTCCGTCTCTAGCTGTTCCGACGACCGTGCTTGATTAGTTCGCGCTGCACATAGAGAGCACGGTTTACATGGAAACGACGAGCCAGCGGCTTACGGAGAGTAACGGTGAAAGTTGTCCGGGCAGAAAATTTCCTAAAGCGGACCAAAATACGGTACTGGTTAATGTATAGACTATAGACCCTTAAAAAACAGAATAACCTATTATTAATTATAAGCGAACAATTTTAAATTTTCTCTTCTCTTGATCGTTTTTGGTCTTCATAAAATGAGTGAAATGTAATTATCTATTTCTTCTTTACGTAGATGTGAGGTAATGGTGTATCAAGTTTCCGATAGGCACATTTACAATGTTGGAGGTCATTCTTTGTACAGTATTTGAAATATCCAGTACATTATCTAATTCAAATTTTAGTTCATTATCTAAGCATAGTTACAAAATACAACGCAAGTTACATTGTAAATTAGGCAACTTCATCTTGGCTCAACTCCAGTGCTGTTGAATAGAGAAGTCAAGAGTTACAAAAAAACACCTTAACAGCATGTCACTAGGTATTAAAAGATATAGAATGTAGAATGCAGACGTAGATTTTGACTTTAAATGCCATAAAAAAAATCTTTAACGCTTAACTCTATTAATTAATGCTATATGCCCAATTGTCTTAGAGAAGGCTGGAAATCTGCACATGCTGGGACTTGCCAGGACCGTGTCGCTTCTGTCTTCCCCCTCCCCCGCTTTATGAGGGGCATGAGGAACACCGCATTTCTACCTGCCATAGCATGAAAACTAATTGCAATGACTGTCAATCCAACAATAACAACTTTCCTCTTCCATCATGACTGGTTCCCATGTATCCTAATCCCATGTCCACCTAAATATATGCATTATATCATCACACACACACTCCTACAAATATACATGTATGTGTATAAATAATATGATTATATGATGAGTTGCAGGAGTTTTCCAGGTAACCATGAACTTTGTAAAACACACATGCAGATGGAGGGGGGGCTGGGGGTGCCCCTCTTACCCGAACTATTAAAAGTGTCTCCCTTTGAAGGTACTGAGAGTCACTACCCCCATCCGCGGTCAGTACATTTGATCAAGGGCCCCTCAAAAAGTCTCTGCACCACGGGGTCAAAATGATTGATTTTGCATAATTTGCTTATATATAATCAAGGGGAACCCTTCACCATTGATTAATAGATGCCTTCACACTTGAAGCTGATCATATTTCTAGCAGGAATGACAGATATACATAATATTAAGATCAGAAGATTCAAATAGTCCTGGCAGAGGAGTCCTATGGTCTGTGACCTCACCCCTGATTATACAGAGGAGAGTCCCGCTTGGCATCCGTATTATAATCGGTATTAGAAGTAACCTGTTAATGTTCGCAAAAAGTGCTTAATTATATCTTTCTCTGGTGCCACGTTGGCATGTCACATAGCTGGCCATGTCCCTGAATTAAAGAAACACTGACATGTTTCATTTGAAAGTGCTGACTTTTCTGTTTCAGTCGGGTTGCTAATGAAATGATTATATTATCCGACGAAGTTAGTTCTGTGCTCAGGACAGCAATGTCCCGCACTAAAAATAAAGACACAATTGTAATAGGAAATAAGCCCCCAAAGAACTTGTGTGTCCTTATGCTGTCACTAAATGTCCCTTTTAGCCATTTAGCTTATAAAATTATTCATCAGTGTTAACATCTGAAAAACGATAAATGCGTATAACAACATTCCAGAAATTGTTATTTCCTGTGCTAGGAGCATAAATCCAGGAAACCTGGTGACATGGGCGTAATATCCAGGGGGGTTAGGGGGGTCATGACCCCCCCAATAATCAGATCCAGCCAATATAACCCCCCCCCCCAATAATCATGTTTCCCCTGTAATGGGTGGAGACCTCGACGCCCCCCAATGTTCCAGCCAAAGTTACGCCCTTGCCTGCATGGTGACGTTCAGACAAACTGGAAACAAACAAGCCTTGGCTCCTTAACAGCGACGCTCAGTCAGACTGAGCCGCCAGGTGACCCCTAGAGGTTCTGATGCAAGACCACAAATGGAAAGAAAAAAAAGGTTCACACAACAGCTTTATAATCATTGCTATGCACTGTCACTATCGCTATTAGCATATCGTTCTCTTCCTCGTTTTAACCAGCATTTTCAGAAAATGTTGTATAAAAATTAATAAAAACACTATCGTTTCAAAGTACAATAGGCTTGGTAAAAAAAAAATCATTTTGATCACAATATCTGTCAGATTTCGCCATGCTGTTGACCATGGTTCTGATCAAAACTGAAGCTTTGTAATTAGTCATTTCTAATAAATTGAAGTATAAGCAGATTTTGAAGTGTAACATTTTCTGCCCATGGTTTCCATTTTTCCATTTCTCACTGGACTCTAAAGTTGGTTACGAGGGCAGAGCGGATGAGATGATTGTTTGATACGGCAGCAATTAGAAAATTAGTTACTTAGTTAATTTCAAAATCTAATGTGCCTCAATAATATATTGATGTGCGTGACGTTTGATATATTGATTGCTGAATATAACATTGCGATTACCTGTTTCCTGTTCAACCCATAATAAAACCTCACCCAAACAGATGGAGAATAAAAAAAGACAATACATACTTAAAGTAAGATAAAGTGATACATAGGGGCAGGGAGAAAAAATAAATGAACAACTCGCCAATTTTCATACGTGCTTGAAAAAATAAATAAGCTACATTTTCACAATGGTCTAGGCGTCTAGGGTCTGAATTCACCGTGGATGCTCCAATAGACCTGAATAACACTTTGAAATGGTGAGAGGAAGTAAGATGTCACTTCGGTGTCACTGTGATCATAGAGTGAGCGCGTTTCACAGTAGGTAGTCGACAGGACGTGCTGTGCATTTGAAAGAAGCGTGTGACATCCTTCTTTTCACCAAAGCGTATGTAAGCTCCATAAAATGCATGGAAACTTTCATTATTACCCAAATAGCTCAGTAAGAGGTGTCTCGCGAGGAGATATATGAACTACATCCTAGAAAACATAATTAATATTTCACTTCTGAAATGGATGTTCCTGTGATTAAGTCAAGATAAGACTGAGAGTATTTGCATTTCTTTTGTGTCAAAATCATTCCACATAATGCCGGTTATCTGACTAATAGAAAGAATGTTCAAAGGGTTCTATACTATTAAAATTGGCAGAATATTAGATTTTACGCCTAAGATTTTTTTTTAATTCAGTATTTTATATTTAATTTATTACTGTGCCGGATCGTTCGACGCCATAAGCGTTGACAGACACCGAACAAACGTGTCTGGGTCAGTCACTGAAAAAAAAGCCGCGCTGTACTAGAAACGTTACGTAAATGAAACCGTCAAGTGCAGCTACAGGTTACTCACCAGTGATCCTGTTCTATTTCGCAAGGGGCGGAGTTCCTACACACAATGTGTTTTACCCTTCAGACGTGCGGGAAGAAACGTGATTCAATGGTATTAAACCGTTAGTTCGGGAGAGAGACCGGGCGAGACCCGCGGTGTACAAGCATCCTCAAGGTAGGTGATTCTTAGTTCCCGAAATGAAACTTATGATGGGAAATAATGTGCGCTGCATCACTCTGTATAATTAATACGAACACTTCCTGGCTTCTGAATTTATGCGTAGTTGTTATTAATAATAAACTTGTTTTATCTTTTTTCTTTTATAGGACAGTCTTTGGTCGTTAGTATAATTGTTTGTAGAATGGCGATAATAGAACGTGGCAATATAACATTATATTTACGAACACATCTGGCACTAAAGACTGAAAGCAATCAGTCGACTGTGGAAAAAAATAACAAAGTATGCTTAGAGCTCACAAATTAAGCCAATTAAAAAAACGTGGTTTATCCTTTAACGGAAATGCTCTATAACAGGTTATTTAGTCGGAGAGTGAATCTCGTGTCTTGATGAAATCTCAGAAGTGGGGGAAACCCCTAAAGCACGATTTTCCCGTTTTCTGACATTATGTTCGTATATTTCGTAGAAGAGCGATGTTATATTGTGCACATGACTTTAGTGTAAATCAATAAGCATGCGACGCCACTAGTAAAGCTGGCAGCTACATATCGCGATCACCAGCGGGAGATGATGCTATGCACGCAGTAGCAAGGGATAGTCCATTTAATAAGAGAAAACACCAGTATAGTCTGCCAACGCACCGAAAGCATCGCGAGCTACAGAAATGTTAATTACAATATTGTAGATTTGCCTTCAGTCATCGAGAGCGCGTCGCGTTCCACACGTAGCCTCTTAGGTGATGCACCTTCATACACCTTCTATTTTAAGTGCTGTCTGTTTGTATATCACTCAAGGCAGACCTGCTAAAATAAGAATTAGTAGGTACGTACAACCTCATTTTCCACGTAAAAATAATCCACTGATGTTGTAGACACAGCTGGTATATTTGAATTCCACAAATAAAAGTAATCTCAAAAATATCTAGGCTAATATATTTTGTATATAGTATAGTCGTTTATTGTGAATATAGTTTTTTGTATAATATCGTAAAACATCTATATATACATCTATATTTTATCTCTTACATGCCTTATCCTGTACCTCAAGCCATCCCCGTATTAACCAAACTACAAGAGCCAACATGCATTGCGCGCCTTGATGTTACGTGCCTTGGGCTGCATCCGCACATGGTGACTTGATTTCCCAAGTGGTTATTTTTACTATTTTTAAAAAATGTGCTTATATGGAAGCTTAAGTACTTTACGCATTATCAGTGGTATTAACAAATTTATTTGGGTACATCTCCAGCTTTCCTAAAATTTAACGGGTAATTTTAACACGTAGTAATTTATGACATTTCAGGCCGCATCACGGTGCACACTCACGTTTTCGGAACGTGCAGGTGGCGGTGTGCCGCTTTGAATTGTATACTGTACTATGAAGCTCAGTACGCCAAACATTATTTAACCATTAGATATGGAAAAAGAAAATTACGTATTCGTTTACTCAAAAGTATAACCATTTTATAGATCACATATACAATTAAACGGTCTTAAAAGAGCAGTCATAATTGGCTTATCATTCGTGCCTTCATCGTTAGCTTCCTGTATGTATAGTACGCATTTATTAAAACAGTTTGTCCTGTGATGCTAATGTGATTTGAACATTTATTAATGTGATTTGACTGCACATTAATTAATTTTACAATTGTAACAGAAGCTGGAAGGGTTTACGCCATCTGTTGTGGCAGGTGTTTGTTTTAGCACTACAGGTGAATGTAATTTTAAGTGTATCACAAATTTGTTTTTGATTGTGCTAACGATCTTATGAAACTCGTTCTGTCTTCACATATATCTTAGTCTATGTCAGCGTGTGGTTGAAGATGTGTTCAGTCCGTGTTCTCCATGATGGCTATGAGAGACTATCAGTGGAAATCCATTGTTCATAAGAAGCACGTCTGCCAGCCAGGTTAGCAAGTTTTAGTAGCTGTGCTAAAAAAGATCCCGATTAACAGGTGTCCTGCCTGAGACTTATAGCGGGCAAGGAGTTACCAAAGGAGGAATCGCAGGGGAAATGGCAAAAGCTGGGGACAGTGTACAGGGTATAGAGCTAACATACACATGTAATATTTAGGCAATTAATAAAAATCATTATGTTTTGTTCTGTTCAATTAAGTTTTTTTGTTAAATGTATGTGTGTTTATATACAGCTCTGGAAAAATTAAGAGAACACAGCACAATTTAGTAACACACACCAATAAACTGAGAAATGAGGGAAACTCAAAATTGTGCTGTGTTCTCTTAATTTTTCCAGAGCTGTATATAAACACAAACTGCAGCCTGGTTTCTCATTGATGAGGGTCCTCACTTTGTGGGACTTCAGTCCTGCTTCTAGGAGCCTGATACAAACTGTCCTAGCAAGGCATTTCACACCTGCCCTTTCCCATTCCTTTTGAAGGTCACTTGTTCATCCTCCGATTCATGAGAAACTGGATGAGTTAACAGTCATCTCTGGCATTAGAAAGTCGCTTCCGCTCTTTACCTGGCTGGTTTCTGGTCGTTCCCAGTGTCTCCTGCTTCACCTTATTCTTGTGCACTGCGGTCTCAAAGATTTTGAACGTGGAAGCAACCTGCTGCTCAGCGTAGCCTCCTGCCAACAGAACCAGGATAAAACCAGGATTTAAGAATGCAGATTTTTAAGTATGGAGTGGTTTCTTAATGTTTTCCAGAGCTGCATATAGTGATGTATATATGAAGCATATATGAGTTATAGTATTAGTTACGGAAGAGCTTGTGCATGCCTATAAATTTGGACTGGAATTCCCTCATGAAGCCACAAGACTGCTCTATGTTCCATGTCAGGCCTGACATTTCAGTGCAGACAAATGGTCATACTTGCATATACACAGCTGGCTTGCACTGGTTTGGATATGAAAATGTCAGTTGTATTTTCGGAGGGGCACATGTATGCTGGAAGAGGCTTTGGGGGCAAAGAGGGCTTGGGCTGGGTCATTAGCTGGGGGGAATATGCATGACGGTCGGAGAGAAGCAGGGACATG